CATTTATTTATTGTGTGCGTGTGTGTGTGTGTGTGTGTGTGTGTGGCCAGCTCAGCCCACCAGGGGGCGAGGCTGGCTGGCATGTGGTGCTGGGGGATCGAACCGTGGTCCCTGTGCTTTAGCCAAGCTTGTTCCATGTAGGTGCTTTAGACCACTGAGCCATCTCGCCAGCCCCCTGAAGGGTTTTGATGTGAGAATTAAGCATTGACCCAACCTTGGAAAAACTAGGCCTGGGGATACACCTCAGCAGCGTAAGCACCAGCTGGCAAGGGTAAGGTCCTGAGTTTGATTCCCAGTACTGCAAACAGAGCACATCTTGGAAGAACTGGTGTTGAGGAGGTTAGGTAAGCTGCTCTGATGATCCCAGGCCACAGTGCATGCTCTCTGGAGCTTGGGAAACTACTGCTTTTATGAACTCCAAACCAGAACCATGCTGGGAAATGCCCTGGCAAGTGGCCCAGCTCTGGTGTGCAGAGGGAGGGCATGGCAGGGGATGGTCATGACGCAGAGTTGGTACTGCAGGGGATTAGTAAAGGCACTGTTTGCAAAGGGTGAACAGGGTTTGGAGAAGAACTGGGGAGCACACAGTCTTCTGGGCTGGCAGTTTTGGGTGGTTATTATCCCATAGGTGCAGAGGGCATGAGAACGTGGGAGCTGAACTGAGTGGCTAAATGTTTAGGTTGTCAGACATCTGGCCAAGCTGTGGCCATTGGTGGTGGTGAGGTGTCTCCAACAGCCTCAGTAGCTGCAAGATGGGAAAGTAAATGGCCTCTGTCTGCCTCTAGACCAGAAGGCAGAGGGTGACAGTCTGTGGAGACACTCTGTCATGCCCCTCCCAAGGTACAACAGTAGGGTGGTAGCGAGTGAGGAGTGAGGGGGAGGCTCTATAACCAGAAGCGTGCAGATAGTATCTTGAGTACTGGAGGCGTTTTTGGTTTTTGGGTTATCACACTGAATTACATCCCCATCCATTTTTAAGTTTTTTGATTCAGGCTATGATCTTCCTGCTTCAGCCTCCCAGAATTCAGGAATTATAGGCATACACCACCATGATCAGTTGATTGAAACAATTTTTGAAGTAAGTAAAAGGGGAACTAGCAGCAGTGCAGTGGTTGGTTGGTCCTGCAGTGAAAGAGGACACAGGTACTTGAGAGGAGCTTTCTTGGACAGTTTCGAAAATGTTGGGAAGAAAATAAAGAATGGGGAGTGGGATAGTTTTGAACATGTGAAAGCAGAAAGACAAAGAGAGTTAAATATTGGCTCTCAATAACACAGCAAGGTCATTAGTCCTCAGCGGGATGGGGAATGTGGTCATCGCCCAATGGTCAGCATGTGGATCCAGAAAGTTCTGGACCTATCTAGTCCTCCTCTGCCTTGCCGTGATATGCAGACAGGAATATGTGAGAAAATCAGGAGAGGGAGAGAGAAGTTATATTGGCAAACATACTCAAGTATGTGTAAAAGTTCCTATAGATTTCTGACTTCCTCCGAGGTATCTAATTTTCTTTACTACATATTTTAGTCAAACATATCTAGGCAATTTTTGTTATTGATATAGTACTTTAAAATTGATCACAGTGATGCTTTAAAAATGATGGGGTATATTGAGGTGCTCTTTATTATTTGCCTGCTTATATACTGACAGAATTACCAGTAGTCCAGGTGCGTCTTTTTCTTGCTGGTATGTTTGGTTTCCCTTGATTTACTTGTAACTCCTGAAAAGATAAACTTGCACCATTTTCTGGCACTTGTGCAAGAATATTTAGCTGGACTAGTGCTCTGCAGGAGGTATTGGCTGTTGATATTTTTTCCCTTCTAGCCCACAAACTGTAACAATTGGGGGAGGGTATCTTCTAGAACAGAAAATGTATAGGGAAGGATTGAGAACATCTGAGAAGGTATTGTGGGCATGTCTGTTTTCCCTATCTGGAGATAAGGTTCTATGTAACCAGGCAACTAGAGACCTGTTGTGCAGATGTTGAAAATGGTTTTCACCTTCTCCTGGCTCCTATTTAGGAAAAACCACAGAGCAAACAGTGCTACTGTTTATAAAACGAGACTTCTGATGGTTTGAATGTATAATTTACAGAAAAATTAATTAAACAACATGTATTCATTTATAGAGATCATCTTGGCTGCTTCTCATTCCTTCAACTGCCAGATTTGGTGTTTTCATTCAATATGACCCTATCCTGCCTTCTCTTTACCATGTTGAAAAGGCTGCTGGCACTGAGAGCCAGAGTAAAATCATGCTGCCCACAAAGAAACAGTACATAGGATTGTTCTTTATAAGAGAGTGGAAATAACAGAGGATAGAGAACTAGCTGGGACAGTGTCAGAGGGCCCTGTGGAGGCCTGTGCTAAAGGGAACGACCTGCAGGGGTTGCTAGCAGCCACCCACTTTCAAAGCTGATCTCTGACAGAATAGGTGACACCTCTGTTACTGGCCGTGTAGTAGGTCCTTTGGGCAGCATAAAGAACATGGCCTGCGGGGACTGCCTCTCTGAATCCTCAACCCTGCCGTGCCTCAGTTTCCTCAGCTGTAAAATGAGGATGTTTATGTTGTGAGAATTAAGCAAGTTCTCATGCAAATGCTGGAACAGTGCCATCATGTTAATGACCATTTAAGTAGCTCTTACCTGGTGCCCAGCAGAGCAACTGGAACAAAGAAACAGTGTGTTGCAGAGGCATTTAATGAAGATGAGAAGCCCTTTCTTTCTTTAGATTTGGACATTCCTTGTATATTAATATTTAAAGATGACTTTGGGTGATGTTACTGTATAGTCTAACTTAGGATCAAAGATGAATGCCCTTGTCTAGCTATTTTAGATGTACCATATTTCAGAACTCTGTCATGTTTTCAGAGGTTGATGTTACTGGCCATCGTCCCCTGTGATCTGTGTTTACTTTCTGAATTACTTCCTCACAGTTGTCATGTGGACCCAAGATCAGTTGGGTTTTCCCTAGACCTAGACACACAGGATTTTACAGGCAGGTTCGCAGTTTCCTGTAGCTCTGCTTATATCTGTCATTTTCTGCTTTCTACAGTTTTCTCATCTCACCCCACAAAGCCACTTCTGAATTAATGAGTTCTCACCTTGTCCTCTAAAACTATTTCTTACCTTATTAAATATCCATACAGAATGCCTTCTGTGTGTACACCTTATTGTTCAAGTGACATGAAGTAAGTTATAGTAAGGAACAGAAAGTCTCTTTTCTTGAGGAGTTTCTATACTAATGGGGGAGACACAGACAGTAAACAGGGAGCGTGTAAGTATGTGTGTCTCAGGAGTATTAGGGATGAGGGTCAAATAGGAGAGGAGATGGAGGCAGGGTGAGGTAATGGAGTTAGCACTTCTTAGTAGGATGACCAGGAAGGCCTTACCAGCCAGGTGTCGTTTGCCTGAGACTGGAAGGGAAGTGAGAGGGACGAGCCATGGCAGGAAGAGCAGAGCAGACTTCTGTGCAGAAGTGTAGGTGGCTCAGTTCAGGAGCAGAGAGATGGTGACTCTGACTTAGCTTTAGGAGAAGATTGCTGACTTTGTGCGGGCAGTTCCACTGCAGCTCCCCTTCTGAGGACCTGAAAGACCAACTTCATCAGGCGTTACAAGAAAACTGTCTTTCAGAACTTCATCCTAGCTCTTGTGTCTTTCATAAGTTCTTTAAACAATTGATTTTGTTTTGTTTTAATGTGGTGATTGAACTTGGGACCTTCACATTGAGTGAGCTATATTCTGTAGCCTTGTTTTTTCTTTTCTTTTCTTTCTTTTTTTAAATTTTGAGACAAGAGTCTTAATTGTTAAGTTTACCTAGACTTGTTTTGAACTTGTGATTCTTCTGCCTCAGCTTCCCACCATAGTAGGATTATAGGTGTGCACCACCATGCTGCACTATGAATAATTGGATTGTAAAGTTATTTGGAGCAGTTTGACCTTGTCCTATTCATCTGAGTCTGAGAGGATATGATCACAGGCAAAAAGAAGACTAAAATCAGCTCTTGATTAGTTGTTTAAGAGGATGAGGCTTTAGTAAAGGTTAATGTGCAGGATGGTGGCCCAGTCAAGTAACTCTAGGAAGAGTCTGGGTCCTACACTTTGTTTTTATTTGTTTGTTTTTCCTGTTTTTTATTGCCCTCTAAAGTGACTGTTTTAAATCATACTTTCATAGGAATAGCTAGATAGGCAAGTGAAAAGCTAGGTAGGAGTTATCTGTGCTGGAACGTCTTGCAGCCTTCCAAAAGAGTCTGGTAGCAGAGTCAGTTAGCCTTTGTGTGTGGGAATGGCAGGCAGGTGGCTGGGAGGCTTACCTGAGACCAGACTGTAGCAGGAAGGTTGAACCCAGAGTTGCAGTGGTAACTGTGGCATGAGGAGTCATAGTGATGTCCTGGGCCTCGTGAGCCCAGGACATCACAGGTAACTGGTAATGCAGTAACACTGCAGCAGCATGCTTCTCGATACAGAGATCTGGCTTTGGTTCTCAGGCCTGTTGTTTCCCAGCTGGGCAGTGGGCACAGCAGCTGGCCAAGGAGAGGCTGCCTCAGCACTGACTCAGCTTGGGCCAGTCTGATATGGGAAGCAAAGTATGAAGGTGCTCTTAGGCTTCTTCCCCTGCCATAACTGAAAGACTTATTTGAAAGTGATTATTTTTCATGGACAGTATTAACATAGTCCCATAGTTTACCCAACTGAATTTTGGAGGCTCATTTGTCTAATAATGATTTTTTTTTAAATCCAGGGTCTTGCTGTGTTTTTTTAATAATGCACTTCTTTTAAAACTGTATTGAATTTGTAAATAGCTAAAATGATTCTTTCATTTCTCCCACAGATTCCCGCTTCATTCTTTACATCATTTCTCTGCTTATTTACATCATCAGAAGTAAAATAAAACAGATGACATTCAAACCAGTCAGCTTCATGTGGGGATCTGAATTGTCTTAGACCTGATTTTGTTTGTGTGGGGGAACATGTCTCATGTCTGCCTTTCTTCTGTTCCGTTTCCAGGAGGGCTGTTGGCCTGCTGCTGTGCTGCTGAACAGTATGCAGTCCTTTCGGGAGCAAAGCAGTTACCACGGAAACCAGCAGAGCTACCCACAGGAGGTACACGGCTCATCCCGGATAGAAGAGTTCAGCCCTCGCCAGGCCCAAATGTTCCAGAATTTTGGGGGTGCAGGTGGCAGTAGTGGTGGCAGTGGTGGCAGCAGTGGTGGTGGACGACGAGGAACAGCGGCTGCTGCTGCTGCAGTGATGGCTAGTGAGACCTCTGGTCACCAGGGGTACCAGGGGTTCAGGAAAGAGGCTGGAGATTTTTACTACATGGCAGGCAACAAAGACCCCGTGGCAACAGGAACCCCACAGCCTCCTCAGCGAAGGCCTTCTGGGCCCGTGCAGAGCTATGGACCCCCCCAGGGGAGCAGCTTTGGCAATCAGTATGGGAGTGAGGGTCATGTAGGCCAGTTTCAAGCACAGCACTCTGCTCTTGGTGGTGTGTCTCATTATCAGCAGGATTACACGGGGCCTTTTTCTCCTGGGAGTGCTCAGTACCAACAGCAGGCTTCCAGCCAACAGCAGCAGCAAGTACAGCAGTTGAGACAACAGCTTTACCAGTCTCATCAACCTTTGCCACAAGCTGCGGGTCAGCCCACCTCTGGCTCGTCCCATCTACAACCAATGCAGCGGCCCTCAACTCTGCCATCCTCTGCTGCTGGCTACCAATTAAGAGTGGGTCAGTTTGGCCAACATTACCAGTCTTCTGCTTCTTCCTCTTCTTCCTCCTCCTTCCCTTCACCACAGCGTTTCAGTCAGTCTGGACAGAGCTATGATGGTAGTTACAATGTGAATGCTGGCTCCCAGTATGAAGGGCATAATGTGGGCTCTAGTGCACAGGCTTATGGAACACAGTCAAATTACAGCTACCAGCCTCAGTCTATGAAAAATTTTGAACAGGCAAAGATTCCACAAGGGACCCAGCAGGGACAGCAGCAGCAGCAAACACAGCCACAGCAACCGCAGCAGCAGCAGCAGCAGCAGCAGCAGCAGCAGCAGCAGCAACAACAGCAGCAACAACAACAGCAGCAGCAGCAGCAACAGCAGCAGCAACAACAACAGCAACAACAGCAGCAGCAGCAGCATCCCCCTCAGCATGTAATGCAGTATACCAATGCTGCCACTAAACTGCCCCTGCAAAGCCAGGTGGGGCAGTATAGCCAGCCTGAGGTTCCTGTGAGGTCCCCCATGCAGTTTCACCAGAACTTCAGCCCCATCTCTAACCCATCTCCAGCTGCCTCTGTGGTTCAGTCTCCAAGCTGCAGTTCCACCCCCTCTCCTCTTATGCAGAGTGGGGAGAATCTCCAGTGTGGGCAAGGCAATGTGTCCATGAGTTCCAGAAACAGAATTTTACAGTTAATGCCTCAACTTAGTCCAACACCATCAATGATGCCCAGTCCTAATTCTCATGCTGCGGGATTCAAGGGGTTTGGGCTAGAAGGGGTACCAGAAAAGCGGCTGACAGATCCTGGGTTGAGTAGTTTGAGTGCTCTGAGTACACAAGTGGCCAACCTTCCGAATACTGTCCAGCACATGCTACTTTCTGATGCCCTCACTCCCCAGAAGAAGACCTCCAAGAGGCCTTCCTCATCATCCAAGAAAGCAGACAGCTGCACAAACTCTGAAGGCTCCTCACAGCCTGAGGAACAGCTGAAGTCTCCGATGGCAGAGTCCTTAGACGGAGGCTGCTCCAGCAGTTCAGAGGACCAAGGCGAGAGAGTGAGGCAGTTGAGCGGCCAGAGCACCAGCTCTGACACCACCTACAAGGGCGGAACCTCAGAGAAAGCTGGCGCCTCACCAGCACAAGGCGCTCAGAATGAGCCCCCAAGACTGAGTGCCAGTCCTGCAGCTAGAGAAGAGGCTGCTTCGCCAAATGCTAAGGATACCCCACTGTCATCTGAGGGGAACCCAAAAGTCAATGAGAAGACAGTTGGGGTGATTGTGTCCCGGGAAGCTATGGCAGGTCGGGTAGAAAAGTCTGGTGGACAGGATAAAGGGTCCTCAGAGGATGATCCTGCCGCCACACAGCAGCCACCCAGCAATAGTGGGGCAAAGGAAGCCAGTCACACATCACTTTCCCAACCAGAGCCTACAGGAGGGAGCAAAGGGAACAAGAATGGTGACAACAGCTCCAACCACAATGGAGAAGGAAATGGGCAGCCTGGCCACCCCACAGTGGGCCCTGGTTTCACAGGCAGGACTGAGCCCAGCAAGTCTCCTGGAAGCCTGCGCTACAGCTACAAAGAGAGTTTTGGGTCATCTATACCACGAAATGTTGGTGGCTTTCCTCAGTTTCCTTCAGGGCAAGAAAAGGGGGACTTCGTTGGCCACGGGGAACGAAAGGGTAGAAATGAGAAGTTCCCCAGCCTCCTTCAGGAAGTGCTTCAGGGTTACCACCACCACCCTGACAGGAGGTATTCCAGGAGTGCTCAGGAGCATCAGGGGATGGCTGGTGGCCTGGAAGGATCTGCAAGGCCTAATGTCCTAGTTAGTCAAACCAATGAATTAGCTAGCAGGGGCCTTCTGAACAAAAGTATTGGATCCCTGTTAGAAAACCCTCACTGGGGACCCTGGGAAAGGAAGTCAAGCAGCACAGCTCCTGACATGAAACAGATCAATCTGGCTGACTATCCAATTCCCAGAAAGTTTGAAATAGAGCCTCCAGCATCAGCTCATGAGCCTGGGGGCTCCCTCTCTGAAAGGAGATCAGTGATCTGTGACATTTCTCCTCTAAGACAGATTGTCAGGGACCCAGGGGCTCACTCACTGGGGCACATGGGTGCCGACACCAGAATTGGGAGGAACGAACGTCTCAACCCAAGTTTAAGTCAGTCCGTCATTCTTCCAGGTGGATTGGTGTCCATGGAAACAAAGCTGAAATCCCAGAGCGGGCAGATAAAAGAGGAAGACTTTGAACAATCCAAATCCCAAGCTAGTTTCAACAACAAGAAATCTGGAGACCACTGTCATCCCTCTAGCATCAAGCATGAGTCTTATCGGGGCAATGCCAGCCCAGGAGCAGCAGCCCATGATTCCCTTTCAGACTATGGCCCCCAAGACAGCAGGCCCACACCAATGCGGCGAGTTGCAGGCAGAGTTGGTAGCCGGGAGGCCATGAGGGGTCGGTCTCCTTCTCAGTACCATGACTTCACAGAAAAGTTGAAGATGTCTCCTGGGAGAAGCAGAGGCCCAGGAGGAGACCCTCATCACATGAACCCCCACATGACCTTTTCAGAGAGGGCCAATAGGAGCTCTTTACATGCTCCCTTCTCTCCCAACTCAGAAAGCCTGGCATCTGCATATCACACGAACACACGGGCTCATGCTTATGGGGACCCTAACACAGGTTTGAATTCCCAGCTCCACTATAAGAGACAGATGTACCAACAGCAGCAAGAGGAATATAAAGACTGGAGCAGCAGTTCTGCTCAGGGAGTAATTGCTGCTGCGCAGCATAGGCAGGAGGGACCTCGGAAGAGCCCACGACAGCAGCAGTTTCTCGACAGAGTACGGAGCCCTCTAAAAAATGACAAAGATGGTATGATGTATGGCCCACCAGTTGGCACTTACCATGACCCTGGCATGCAGGAGGCTGGGCGCTGCCTCATGTCCAGTGATGGTCTGCCTAATAAAGGCATGGAACTGAAGCATGGCTCCCAGAAGTTACAAGAGTCTTGTTGGGATCTGTCTCGGCAAACTTCTCCAGCCAAAAGCAGTGGTCCTCCAGGAATGTCCAGTCAAAAACGGTACGGACCGCCCCATGAGACAGATGGGCACGGCCTAGCTGAATCTCCACAGTCATCAAAACCTAGTAATGTAATGCTAAGGCTTCCTGGCCAAGAGGATCACTCTTCTCAAAACCCCTTAATCATGCGGAGGCGTGTCCGTTCTTTTATCTCTCCCATTCCCAGTAAGAGACAGTCACAAGATGTAAAGAACAGTAACACTGAAGATAAAGGGCGCCTCCTTCACCCATCGAAGGAAGGCACCGATAAAGCATTCAATTCCTATGCCCATCTTTCTCACAGTCAGGATATCAAGTCTATCCCTAAGAGAGATTCTTCCAAGGACCTTCCAAGCCCAGATAATCGAAATTGCCCTGCTGTTACCCTCACAAGCCCTGCTAAGACCAAAATACTCCCCCCACGGAAAGGACGGGGATTGAAGCTGGAAGCTATAGTTCAAAAGATCACATCCCCAAATATCAGGAGAAGTGCATCTGCAAACACCGCAGAGGCTGGGGGAGACACCGTGACACTGGATGACATACTGTCTCTGAAGAGTGGTCCTCCTGAGAGTGGGACAGTGGCTGCTCAGGAGGCTGAGATGGAGAAGAGAAAAGGTGATGTGGTGTCTGACCTAGTGGGTCCTACTAGCCAGGAGTCTAACACTGAGAAGCCTCTAGCTCGGTCTGCAGAAGAGTGGCGTGGCAGTGGGGATGACAAAGCAAAGGCAGACACACACACAGACACAGCTCCTCCTGGGAAGGACGCCCCTGGTGCCATGACATCCACAACCTCACAGAAGCCTGGCAGTAACCAAGGGAGACCAGATGGTTCCCTGGGTGGTGCAGCACCTTTAATCTTTTCTGACTCAAAGAATGTAGCTCCAGTGGGCATATTAGCCCCTGAGGCAAACCCCAAGGCTGAAGAGAAGGAGAATGAGACAGTGACTATTTCACCCAAACAAGAGAGTTTTCCCCCAAAGGGATATTTCCCATCAGGAAAGAAGAAGGGAAGACCCATTGGTAGTGTGAATAAGCAAAAGAAGCAGCAACAGCCACCACCCCCACCTCCCCAGCCACCTCAGATACCAGAAGGTTCTGCAGATGGAGAGCCAAAGCCAAAAAAACAGAGGCAGCGGAGAGAGAGAAGAAAGCCTGGGGCCCAGCCAAGGAAACGGAAAACCAAACAAGCAGTTCCCATTGTAGAACCCCAGGAGCCTGAAATCAAGCTAAAGTATGCCACCCAGCCACTGGATAAAACTGATGCCAAGAACAAGTCTTTTTTCCCCTATATTCATGTAGTAAATAAGTGTGAACTTGGAGCCGTTTGTACAATCATCAATGCTGAAGAAGAGGAACAGACCAAATTGGTGAGGGGCCGGAAAGGTCAGAGGTCTCTGACCCCTCCTCCCAGCAGCACCGAAAGCAAGGTGCTACCAGCTTCTTCCTTTATGCTGCAAGGGCCTGTGGTGACAGAGTCATCTGTTATGGGGCACCTGGTTTGCTGTCTGTGTGGCAAGTGGGCCAGTTACCGAAACATGGGTGACCTCTTTGGACCTTTTTACCCCCAAGATTATGCAGCCACTCTCCCGAAGAATCTGCCTCCTAAGAGGGCCACAGAAATGCAGAGCAAAGTCAAGGTACGGCACAAAAGTACTTCAAATGGCTCCAAGACGGACACTGAAGAGGAGGAGGAGCAGCAGCAGCAGAAGGAGCAGAGGAGCCTGGCCGCACACCCCAGGTTCAAGCGGCGCCACCGCTCGGAAGACTGTGGTGGAGGCCCTCGGTCCCTGTCCAGGGGGCTTCCTTGTAAAAAAGCAGCCACTGAGGGCAGCAGTGAAAAGACTGTTTTGGACACAAAGCCCTCCATGCCCACCACTTCAGAAGGTGGCCCCGAGCTGGAGTTACAAATCCCTGAACTACCTCTTGACAGCAATGAATTTTGGGTCCATGAGGGTTGTATTCTCTGGGCCAATGGAATCTACCTGGTCTGTGGCAGGCTCTATGGCCTGCAGGAAGCGCTGGAAATAGCCAGAGAGATGGTGAGTAGGAGAGGCCCCAGCCAGGTCAAGGGTTGTGTTACTTCATTTTGGTTCCATTTCTTCCAGCAGTATTCTTGTGTCACAAGCTCCTAGGACTGAGTGGTGGACAGAAATTAAAGCAAGTAGTTAGGTTGTTTAAATTAGTTTCATCAGTAATGCATGTCCATAGGTTACAGAGCCAAGCCGCTGCCTACAAAATGTTTTAGCAAACCAGGGTCCCTGCTTTGCTCCCCTCAAACCTGCCTGTCCTCCCAGGAACATTGCTTGTGCAGTGTGACTTTCTGAAGTTAACCCATCTGCTGGTTTTTTTTTTTTTTTTGTTTCTGAATAACCTTTTATTGCTGTTTGTTGCTGATTTTTCTTCTAAAAAAGATCAGTTTTCACTTTTCAGCCTCTGCAATACAAAATACATGATGTTTTTTTTCTTTTCTTTTAGAATGTTTCATTGCCCTAGGCTTATTATTTCATGTTTCCATTTGCTTTTTCTTTTCTTGAACCATGTCTTTCTAATCCATTTTCTAACTTGCGTATTTAGTTTTTAAGCTTTTCTTCATGAGTATTTTTTTTTTTTTGACACTAGGAATTGAACCAGGAGCCTTGGCACTGAGCTACATTTCTAGCCTTTTTAAAACATGTTTTGCTGGGGAGATGGCTCAGTGGAATAAGTGATTCCCTGGCAAGCGCAAGGGCCTGAGTTCAATCCCCAGTTCTGCAAAAACAAAACAAAACATGTTTTATTTGGAGAGAGGGTCTCATTAAGTTGATAAGTTGCTCAGGCTACATTTAAAGTTGTATTCTTGCCTCGGCCTCCCAAAAGCTGGGATTACAGATGTGCTTCACAACTCTGATGCTGGGGAGTGTTTGGTCATCATTGTTTGCTTTGCTATTGAATACTGTCTCCTGTTCCCATGACTTCCATTTTCTTAAATGGGTCTTCATGCAGAGGAGTGTGTGATTTCTTGGTAGTTTCCTGGGAAAGGTCCTGGCTGATAATGTTGAGCTCTTGTCTCTAGATATGTCTTTTTTTTTTTTTTTTTTCAGAACCAGGATTGAACACAAGCCTTTGTGCTTGCCAGGGAAGCGCTTATTCCACTGAGCCATCTCCCCGGCCCCTCTAGATATGTCTTTAGCCTATTCTCTGTAGGCTTCTTTTATTTTTTCCTGTGCTGGGCATTAAACCCAGGGCTGCCTTGCACATGCTAGCCAGGTATTCTGCAGTGAACACACCTGCAGCTAGAACTTGAGATTTGAAGTAACTTTCTCTCCCTATCTTAGACTCCTTGTATCTGACTTGTCTGTCCACTAGATTCCATTGTTGTGGGTGATAGGATTGGAACTGTCCCATCGATAGGTGCTTGTGTTTTGTTTTTCTCTTCTGGAACTTTACAGATCTTCTCATTTCTCTCCTACGGTTTTGAGATCTCCTTGAGTAAGTCTCTTCATTCATTATGCTGTCAACCATGTGAGGGGCTTTCCCTTGTACACTTGTATCTTTCAGGATATTTGTCCTGTGTTTTTTATTTTTTTATAACAGGCCATCACTGTGTAGTCCAGGCCAACCTTTCACTCACAATCCTCCTGCCTCAGCCTCCTGAGCAGTGGTGGTAGTGGTAGGTGTGAGCACCACATTGGCTCCCTGCTGTTTCTTCTTGGAAAATGTGATTCCCTCCACTCAGCTCTCACGCAGCCTGTTGATGAATCCTGAGGTTTAGCCCTTTCTTTGCCTTTTTGGTCTTAGTTTTGTCTTCTCTTTGTCTTTTTGTTTGGATTTCTCCCTTTTTTTCCAGCTTTATCATCTAACCTCTTACTTACCTGTTTTATTCCTGATATTTTGAAGAACTTTTTTCTTTCTCTTAATATACTGATTTATAAAAAAAAGCACAGACTTTCTTTGTGGTTTCAGTAGGTTTTTTTGAACACATTTGTTTCCTACTTACTCTTTTTTGTTAGATGTTCTTCAAATGCCATATGCTTGACCATTCACTTATAGCTTTAAGAGACAGAGAGGTGGTAAAAATAACTATTTGAAGCTCTTAGCGGAATGTACAAGGCACATTAGTGTGTGTTTCTCTCTGTGGAAAGCAGCGGTCAGCATCTGTAGGGTTTTTCTGTGTTCTCTGAGATCACTTTCCTGAAGAAAAATCTTGAGAGCTCCTGTCTCAGTGTATAAGCTTGGCTGTCATTCCCCGAAGAACCAGGTGAAGAAAGAGGGTAGGGTAGTAGGGCTGTGGGGGCCGAGATGTGTTTTTTGCCCTTCTTGTTTTCAGTAAGTCCTGTGCCACGGTGGTGGGGACAGTTATCTGATTAAGTTGGGTTGAATTAAAGATCTGACTTCTGAGAACTCCCCCCTCCCCCAATTCTGTGCCCTAATGTGGCTGGCTTTCTAGTGGTCCCTCCACTGTTTTCTTTCAGCTCCCTTGAACCACATGCTCTTTTAATGTACTCTGTTTCCATCTTTCAGAATTCGGATACCTCTTCTCCCATTATCATATTCTCATGAGTCTTGCAAGTTTTCCTTTGTTTTGTAGAAATGGAGCAGATGGATAAATATATTTTCAGTCTACTATATTTAATTAGATGAGGGTTTTCTGTGTTTTTATATTTAAAGCTTACTATGCTTGTCATCCTAGCACTCAGGTGACAGAGGCAAGAGGATCACTGTGGGTTTTAGGCCAACCTGAACTGCATAGGGAGACCCTAAATAAATAAATAAATAAATAAATTTTATTATGCATATAAATGACCAGACATAGTTGATAAACATTTTATCAAGCAGGATCAGTTTTCCTGGATACCTTATCTTACCATCTCTCTCACCCACATACTGGATTTTGTTATTGCATTATCCATAAAATTAAGAACAGAGTGGGGTCTGTGAAATAGCTCAGCAGATAAAGCACCTGCAAGCAGGCGCAGGGGCCAGGGGATCAATCCCTGGGCCTACCATGCAGGCCCCACCCCCAGGGCACACTGAGACAGCAATTGAGACTGGGTATGGTGGCGCATGCCTGTAGTCCCAGCTCTTGGGAGACTGTAAGCAGGCAGATCACTATGAGTCCAATCTAGTAGTGAGGCCCTGAACACCCTGTAGACCCTTCCCTAAAAAAAAAAAAAAAAACAACAACAAAAAAACAAGGTGAATAAAAAGAAAGTACTAAAAGTAAAAAAATACATTTAGAAGGATTTTTTTTTTTGTTTGTTTGTTTTTGTTTTTTTGGCTGGCTCAGAATGCCTTCAGGGCATGTTTGGCTGGCTAGAGATGTGAGGATGGAACCACAGCACCCTGAGGCTGACTGCTTTGTTGAAGCAGCCACTTAAACAACTGAGCTAAGGGGCAGGCCCCCAAAAAATATATTTAATGTGTAATGTTGGAGCAGTTTTTTAAGGTTTGTTTGTTTTTTCAAGATAGGATCTCACTGTAGTTCAGGCTAGTCTTAAACTTATTATGTAGCCCAGGCTGGCCTTAGCAATCCTCTGGCCTCTACTGGCATTACAGGCGTGTGGCAGCACACCCAGCTTTGGAGCACCTGCCTCACCTGTGTGTGAGGCCCTGTGTTAATTCCCTCAATACCACAGGAAAAATAAAATCTGAGTTATACACACACACACACACACACACACACACACACACACAGTTAGAACAGTCTAATATAGTTACACAAGGGGCTTGCCCTTAACACTTACCTTAGACTTCCTTCATGCTTTTTTCCTCCCTCTTTTACTTCATCATCAGTGTTAAGAAAAAAATTGAATTCCACTAATAAGTTTAGACACAGTGATTTTTTTTAAAATTTTATTTATTTGTGTGTGTGTGTGTGTGTGTGTGTGGGTGTGTGTGTGTGTGTGTGGCCAGCTCAGCCCACCAGGGGGCGGGGCTGGCTGGCATGTGGTGCTGGGGGATTGAACTGCGGTCCCTGTGCTTTGCTAAGCTTGTTCTAAGTAGGTGCTCTAGACCACTGAGCCATCTCTCCAGCCCCCACAGTGAGGTTTTTAAAAGCGGGGTTCTAAAGGGGCATGATATTTTAGGAACCTAAAGTATGTCGAATCATCAAATTTAAGCTCTCAACTCATTAATCATCATGCCCAAGTTTATGGGCTGTTTACCAACTTCTCTGAAAAGTTGCCTCTTATTTGTTGTCTTTTGGGGTATATGACCATCATCAAGTGCTTTCTTTAACCATTTAATATTGGTAATACTTCTCAGTGAAATTTCTGTGTGTAAATTTTGATCACAGTAATTGGTAAAAAGAAGTCAGTTTGAATCCTGGCCAGCAAATCCCTCGGCTGCGTGCATGCCCCTTTTGGAAAGCAGAAGGCACCCTGCATTGCTGCAGTCCCGTAAGGTCACGGTGCCTTCCAGGGAATATGCCTCTTAGAATGACTGATCAGGAATGTGTTTCTTCAGAAAGTGACTATTTAGTCTACTACTTGTCAGATTTGATCTCAAAATAAAATCTGGAATGTTACAGTTGGAACAGATACACCAAATAACATAAGTCAAGTCTCTTTCTTAAATCCACCCCCTGCCCTCCACTGCTTTCAGTGACTGAATGGTTAAAGTAACAATATTTTCTTTTAAAATGCTTCACATTAATCATTTCCTCTAAAGAATAACAAATTGGTGTGCTTTGTTTCAGGTGGAAAGTTTATGAGCAGGTGATTGTGACTTGCATGGCTGTCTGTAGGGATTGCAGACCTGGAGTTCGGGCTCTGCTGCCGCCTGATGAGGGGCTATGCAGTTGCCCTGCCTCAGGTCTCATATTGCATCCAACGCTGCAGCGAAAACTCACTTCCTGACTTTCTTTTTCATTGAGCTTCTATTTTACATCGCACTTTTAAGAGTGGAATGCTAAGGGCCAGTACATAGATCAGTGGTACAGCGCCTGCCAGACAAACATGAGGTCCTGAGTTCAATTCCCAGTATCAAAAAAAGAGTGGAATGCTAGTTTGTATTTTGAACTTACTTTTTCAAAAACACTTCCACATGTTTTATTCTTGCA